TGAAAAACTATTTTTAAAAAATCCACGTTTTTTGCTGGTCATGAAAAACTACTTTTAAAAAATCCACGTTTATTGCCGGCCATGAAAAAAATATTTTTAAAAAATCCACGTTTATTGCCGGCCATGAAAAAAATATTTTTAAAAATCCACATTTATTGTTGGTCATGATAAAAAATATTTTTAAAAAAATCCGCGTTTAAAAACTGGCCACGAAAAATATTTTTAAAAGATCTACATTTAAAGTTGGCCACGTAAAAATATTTAAAAAAATCCACGTTTATAGCTGATTATGAAAAATATTTTTTTTAAAATCCACGTTTATTGCCGGCCATGAAAAAAAATATTTTTAAAAAATCCACGTTTATAGCTGGTCATGATAAAAAATATTTTAAAAAAATCCACGTTTATTGCTGGTCATGAAAAAATATTTTTAAAAAATTGACGGTTATAGCTGCTGATGAAAAAAATATTTAAAATTCCCTCAAAAAAAATTCCCATCCACCAGGCGCCAGAGAGGTTAACATCTATCTTCTGGCTGTCCCGATGTTGCCATTATTTATTAGACTGCCGCATAACAGATGTCTGGCGTTGGCATCGTGTTGTAAATGTACGTCTGCAATTGTTCTATTTTAATTTTGAAAATTTCTATATTCGATTCGAATCTGAGAAAATCCCCAAGAAAACAATTCGCGAACATTTTTCAAATTGTTAAGCATGTATTTAATTGGTAAATAATTTATTTGGCAACGAAACATGTTGTTGATTATGGGAGGGGGACGACAGAAAAAAAGTATTTCCTCAAAGACCGTGGGAAAAAATTTGAAAATAAATTGTGGGTTTCTGCGGGCTTTGCGGGATTTAAAAACGTCCTTTCCTAGATACCCGGTTTATGTACAGAGTGAGATGAAAAAACTACAACCAACTTGAGACTGCTGTCATTTCTAAGCCCCTCGTCCGACAGCTGTTAAAATAATTCCACTGACAGCTCATTATATTGTTTACAGGCGTACAAAAGCATTTTGGTGAGAATTTTCCAGAAAAAAGTTATTCGTGGTTCGGAATTAAAGCGTGATAGTGTGATTTCTTTATATTTGGCAGGAAAACTACCAACCAAGTGGTTATCGTTAGAGCACTCCGGCATTTAAATGTGAATAAATCTTTTGTGTCTCGTACCATTGCTCGTTACCGTGATACTGGTAGCGTAGACCGACGTCAAGGAAGTGAACGTAAGTGGACGGAAAACAGCAACATCAGCAGAAATGGTTCGAAAAGTAAAGAAGCGACTTGATCGAAACCCGCGTCGCAGTGGCCGAAAAATGGCTTGTGAGCTGAACATATCGCAATAATCCATTCGGCAAATATTGAAAAATGAGCTCGGGCTAAAGCCATTGAAATTCCAAAAAGTACAAGAACTTACACCGCAACAGAAAGAAAACAGGCTCAAAAGAGCTCAAGAGTTGCGCTTCGCTTGGCCGAAAGTGGTGAACTGCCGAATTTGGTTTTCTCCGTCTCCGATGAGAAGACATTCGTTGTCCAGCAGTTTGTAAACAACAACAACAACAAAATGATCGTGTTTACTTGCCAAAGAGTTCAGCTGAAAATGTGCATCTTCGGTTGGCCACCAAAACTCAAGCGGCGGCGGCCATTGTGATGGTGTGGGCCGCCATAACAACCGATGTTCGCTCTCCGCTCGTATTAATCGACCGTGGCATTAGAATAAATGCCGAATATTATCGCGAAAATATTCTGGAGGGTGTATTAAAGCCTTGGACACGCAAAAATTTTGGCCGCAGACCTTGGACATTCCAACAGGACTTCGCTCAGCAATCGCACTCAGCACGTGCCACCCAAGAATGGTTACAAAAAGGAGGTTCCTCGCTTTATTTCCAGTGCACAATGGCCACCAAAATCTCCGGATACCAATCCGTTGGACTATTGTGTCTGGAGTATTTTGGAAATCAAGGTTGGCACTAAAAAAAATACCAAAGTGTCGATCACCTCAAGCAAGCGCTTCGCCGGGAATGGGCCAAAAAACATCGCAGAACAACATTTGGGCAACGTGTGACGGTTTCATTGATCGTTTGAAGGCCATAATTCATGCCAAAGGTGACCAATTCGAAAAAATCGAAACTTATTCTAAAATTTGATGCTATTTCCGAAATTTTTTGCTTTTATTCAATAAAATTATAAAAAAAAATGTTAACAAGTTAAAAAGCACTAAGTTCGGCCGGGCCGAACTATGAATACCCTCCACAACTTGGAACAAATTTGGAAATTTTCAAAAAATAAAATCCTTAAAAAATTCTGTTAAAATTCTAAAAATACCGAACATAGCCATTATATGGGGGTCTATACGACGTGGACCTACATAGGCATTCGTTGTCATAAGCCATTACCATATTTAAATTCGAAACTTGAAATAAACGGTGAAGCTAAAATCATCAAAATATCGTATATAGGGAGGTACCGTTATATCGGAGCTGTGCGAAGACCTGGACCAGCATAGACAATTTTCTGCCATAGGCTGTAGCCTCCAATACGAACTTCAAATACGACAACTCAAACAATTTCGGTGGGTATTGTACCAAAAATCATCAAAATACCGAATATAGGGAGGTATTGATGTTTGGGACCTATACGAAGACCTGGACCTGCATAGACAATTTTCTGTCGTAGACTGTAGTTCCCATTACGAACTCCAAATACGTAATTTGAAACGATTCTGGTAAATAATGACGCTAAAATCATCAAAATACCGAATATTGGGAGGTACCGTTATATGGGGTCTATACGAAGACGTGGACCTGCACAGATAATTTTCTGTCATAGGCTGTAGTATCCATTTCGAATTTTAAATACCAAATTTGAAACAATTCCGGTGAATAATGACGCTAAAATCATCAAAATACCGAATATTGGGTGGTACCGTTATATGGGGGCCATACGAAGACGTGGACCTGCACAGACAACTTTCTGTCAGAGGCTGTAGTTCCCATTACGAACTTTCAATACCAAATTTGAAACAATTCCGGTGAATAATGACGCTAAAATTGTCAAAATACCGAATATCGGGAGATACCGTTATATGGGGGCTATACGAAGACCTAGACCTGCATAGACAATTTTCTGTCTTAGGGTGTAGTATCCATTTCGAACTTCGAATACCAAATTTGAAACAATTCCGGTGAATAATGTCGCTAAAATTGTCAAAATACCGAATATCGGGAGATACCGTTATATGGAGGCTATACGAAGACGTGGACCTGCACAGACAATTTTCTGTCCTAGGATTTAGTATCCATTTCGAACTTCAAATACCAAATTTGAAACAATTCCGGTGAATAATGTCGCTAAAATTGTCAAAATACCGAATATCGGGAGGTACCGTTATATGGGGGCCATACGAAGACGTGAACCTGCACAAACAATTTTCTGTTTTAGGGTGTAGTATCCATTTCGAACTTCAAATACCAAATTTGAAACAATTGCGGTGAATAATGTCGCTAAAATTGTCAAAATACCGAATATCGGGAGATACCGTTATATGGAGGCTATACGAAGACAATTTTCTGTCTCAGACTGTAGAATCCATTTCGAACTTCAAATGCCAAATATGAAACAATTCCGGTGAATAATGTTGCTAAAATCATCAAAATACCGAATATCGGGAGGTACTTATATATGGGAGCTATATGAAAACGTGAACCTGCACAGACAATTTTCTGTCTTAGGCTGTAGTATCCATTTCGAACTTCAAATTCCAAATTTGAAACAATTCCGGTGAATAATGTCGCTAAAATCATCAAAATACCGAATATGGGGAGGTACCGTTATATGGGGGCTATACGAAGACGTGGAACTGCACAGACAATTTTCTGTCTTAGGCTGTAATATCCATTTCGAATTTCAAATACCAAATTTGAAACAATTCCGGTGAATAATGTCGCTAAAATTGTCAAAATACCGAATATCGGAAGATGCCGTTATATGGGGGCTATACGGAGACGTGAACCTGCACAGACAATTTTTTGTCTTAGGCTGTAGTATCCATTACGAACTTCAAATACCAAATTTGAAACAATTGCGGTGAATAATGTCGCTAAAATCATCAAAATACCGAATATAGGGAGGTACTTATATATGGGGGCCATACGAAGACGTGGACCTGCACAGACAATTTTCTGTCTGAGGGTGTAGTATCCATTTCGAACTTTAAATACCAAATTTGAAACAATTCCGGTGAAAAATGTCGTTAAAATCATCAAATATTTCGAGGAGTTACAAATGGAATGACAAAGTTAATATACCCTCCATAGTATGGTGGTAATTTATAGAAATTTTGGCGTTTGATTTTTTTGCATTTTTTTTATATCACCCTGTAAGGGAGCCATTTCTAAATTTTTACCGATTATCTCCAATTTAAATAGGGCCAAGCTTAGCAATAATAATCTACAAAATTCAATTTGCCAAAGTATCTCAATTCCCTCAGCCACCATAGCCATTTATTCTCTGCCCCCGGTATTAGTAGTTCGTTCACATACACACATATTCACACACATATGCGTGTGTGTGTAAATTATTACATTTCACATTGTATTATTGTTATTATTCTTCATTTCGTTAGATAAATGCAAAAACATTTTTTTTTTCATTATTAATTAATAAGTAATAAAAATTACAACAATAACAACAATGGCATTATATGAAAATTCCTCTGGCCAGATAATAATGCTCTGCCGCCATCGCCAACGTCGCAGTCAACGTCAGCTTTGATATGGCCGTTATAATTTGATTGCGCTCAAAAGTATGCAACATTTTATTACGCAAAATAAATTGCATTTAATTGAAATTTATTGATTTTTATTATGAATCGCCAGCCAGCCAGACAAGCGCTCACGCTTGCCGGCATTATGCGAAGTAATATTTTGTTTTAATTTATTGTTATTATTATTTTTGTTGTAATATAGTAAATTAATTATTATTTTTTTTTTTAATTTCAGATGCTGGGCACAGCATTGCTGGGGAAGCGCACACCAAAGGTGAGTATTTTCGACGATGCAGCCTTGTTTGAGAACATGGGTCGCTTGGAAGTTTCGGACTGTATCAGACGGATTAGAAGTAGAAAAAATTTTAGTTGGAACAATTTTCGTTTCAAAAGGTACTCATGAGACTATTTGAGATTGGTTGCCGAGAGGTTGAATTTAGAGAACGAATTTTTTAATGGCTATTGTAAGTGAAGATAAAGGTCAGTAAAGTAAAAATCTGCGGAACTTCTCACGATAAAAATCTCCACTGAAGATCAACAGTTCCGAATTTTTTACGAAAATTAAAATTAATTTTTAAATTTAAATTTGTATAATTTCTATAATCCACAGAACAGAGTTCAAATAATTCGGAGCTTTTTAGAAAATTGAATGAGAGACTTGGATAGGTAAGAATTTTCAGAAAGGTATTGAGGGCATTATTGTAAAATTTTTTTAAACCATCTTACACGTAACGCCGATGTATATTAGATCGAACTGTTTTAGAAGAAGTTTGCAAATTTTCAAAATAATTTCTATCAATAAATCGTAGATTTTTAGGACTTTTTAGATGAACATCTCAATTTTTAAAAAATTTTTTCCATGTAAAAAAATTCTGGCCATTTTTCAAGGAATTTCTTTTCAAGTTTTTGGATTTTTCAGAAAGTTTTCAAAGACATGGATTTTTAAATCGTTGTTGCAAAATGGTCAGGCCTTATCCCTTTATTGTTGTTTTTGTAAAAACAACGTTTGTTTTATGATTTTATACCTATAGACTTAAAGCGAACAGTCGATGATTTTTAGGGACTTCAGAAGCAAAGACAATTTGGTAGTACCCATTTTTCAAACTTAAAAAAATCGAGAGTTTTTACATTTTTTTTTATGAAATTTTTTCTTTTTAAAAAAATTCTGAATTTTTCAGATTTTTGCAAGGATTTTCGATTTGGTTTCAATGTGTGCGTCAAAGTTAGACCAGAAGTAAAAATATTTATTCAATGACGTCAGGCTCAAAAATCAAGGACGTTTTAAGGACTAAAAAATTATTGATTTTTATTTTTTTATACCCTCAGCCATATGGAGAGTGTAGATCATTTGATGCGGCCAAATCATACCTCATCGATATAACGGACCCTAGGTCTCTTTGGACCGAATCTGTTTCAGGAAATTTGGAGTCGATCTAGGGGTCTCAAAAAGAGTATCCAAGTTGATCCCAACTTGGTACCTCGTAATATTATTGTCAAATTTAGATCAAGATCGGAGATGGGCAATATCGGTCCACTCCTTCTGGTACCTCCCCCACAAAAGGTCGAAATTTTCAAAAAATATATTTTCTGCACAGAACGAGAAAGGATGATCCGATATTGCTCGAACTTTGCAAATCCTAATATTTGCGTCAGTGCTACGTCAGGTGCGAAAATGGACAATATCGGATAACTCCATCAGGTACCTCCCCCACAAAGGGTCTAAATTTTGAATAATTACAACTCTTATAAAATGTGAAGTAAGAGTACGATTGTCTTCAAATTTCACGCATCCCAATATTTTTATGAAGCCAAGGTCTGGTGCTAAGATGGAATATATCGGTCCACACCTTCTGGTACCTCCCCCACAAAAGGTAGAAATTTTCAAAAAAATATATTTTTTTGCACAGAACGAGAAAGGATGATCCGATATTGCTCGAACTTTACAAATCCCAATACTTGCATCAGTGCTACTTCTGGTGCGAAAATAGACAATATTGGATCACTCCATCAGGTACCTTCCCCACAAAGGGTCTAAATTTTGAATAATTACAACTCTTAAAAAATCTGATATAAGAGTCCGATTGTCTTCAAATTTCACACATCTTAATATTTATATTAACCCAAGACCTGGAGTTAAGCTGGAATACATCGGTCCTCTCCTTCTGGTACCTGCCCCACAAAAGGTCGAAATTTTCAAAAAATATATTTTTTTTTCACAGAACGAGAAAGGATGTTCCGATATTGCTCGAACTTTGCAAATCCTAATATTTGCGTGAGAGCTAGGTCGGGTGCGAAAATGGACAATATAGGTCCACTCTATCAAGTACCTCCCCCACAAAGGGTCAAAATTCTGAATAATTACAACTCTCATAAAATGTGATGTAAGAGTCCGATTGTCTTCAAATCTCACACATCGCAATAATTTTATTAACCCAAGATCTTGGGTTAAGATGGAATACATCGGTCCACACCTTCTGGTACATCCCCCACAAAAGGTCGAAATTTTGAATATCCATGAAGCTCATAAAACGCGAAATTAACATCCGATTCCATTCAGACTTGCCATAACTCAATATTTCCATCAACACAAAATCTCTTATAAAGATGGTAGAGATCGGACCATTTCTTCTGGTACCTCCCCCACATAGGATTCAAGATTTTGAAAAACCAAAAACTCTGAGAAAGCGAAATAAGCATCCAATTCTCTTCAAATTTCACACATACGAATATTTTTGCTGACACAAGATCTGTCGTGAAGCTGGTGGTACCTCACCCCACAAAGGATCACCTCGGTAAGGGGTAGAAAAAATTAAAGTCTCTCCCTGTTACTGCGCAGGATTTTACCAAATCCATAGCAAACCGGAATTCAGATTTATCCCCGAGGCGGTAGATACTCAATTCGCTTTATAAAATTATGGGAGCCGTGGTGATAAGGCCCTAATTTTTTTTGAGTGCATGAGTTGTTTTTTTTTTCGGAAATTGTAAAAATACATGCCATGTCCATCGCCTACGACAATATCTGTTTCATAGAAGTTCCTTTAGTGACACAAGCACTAATTTTTCAAAGAAGTCTATTCAATGATATATTAAAAAAAAAAAAAAAGAGCTTGCCTCTTAGATGGCTTTGATGCAGAGACGGATACACAATCAGCAGAAAAAGAGGAGAGTCGATTGAAAGAACTGATTTAGTAAAGGTTTCATAACGTGGCTCATCAGCAGACTTTCCTCTCTCCGCATAGCGAAGAGTAATTGATTCACAAATCGGCGATAGTTAGATAGATGCTAGACACCGTAGATGGCCTTGTGGCTGAGTCGGACACCTATCTGTCAGTGTGTTTCTGACCACTTTCTCTTATGAATTCTTAGGTTCTTTTTTTCGTATTTGACCGCTGCAAGTGGCAATGTCTTGATATCTGTAGATATTTTAGGCTTTGCAGACACCTACTCAAATTCGCATTGATTAGAATCCTCTTCTTAAAAAATTCTGCAATTCCTTCTAGATTCTTGCATTTTTTGGTAGGCACCAAAAGATTTGGCGGGCAGCCCTCTTTACAAATTCTTATTTTCCGAAACATAGTCCTTGACCCCTTGTGGAGTTTTGGATGACTTTTGCATCCATTTCTGTGTCGGTGAGACTAGACTTTCAAAGATCTCAGATGAAGCACACTTCTGCACAAAATTTCATAGAAAGGTTATTTCCAGGCGGGTTGAATTTTTTTTTGATGAGTGTGTCTTTCCGGTATTTCAAGGCTATTTGGGAAGTTTTTTCTTGGATTTCAGTCTTTAGGTCAAAGTCTTACGTCTAGGATTCCAATCCTTAGGGAAACATATCTGTATAAACTTAAAACCTTGAGAATTATTGATATTGGAGGTCCCCAAGGCATGACCTTATAAACATTGAGACGAAGCACTGGCATATTCGTCCCGCCAACCTATAGATGGGCAATTAGATATGTAGGTCCAAGTCTCTTCCCTCTGAACCGTTATTGTCGGCTGCTCATTTCGAAAATCTCAGTCAACCAATATATTTATTGGTTTATCGGCCAAGTCCGATAACATTTGTCTAAAATATATAATCATATAACTTTGTTGTTTTTTCTTTCAGTCTGTGAAAAAGAAACCCTTTACAGATGTTGAATTATCAGGTAAGTTAATCTACAAAAAATAATTTACATACGCTATAAATAATGGATTAAACGTTAAAATCCTTCGAATGAAAGTGGTTTTTAGCCAAAATGAATAATTTATAGAAAAATCTCTTTGAATTGAAGCGATTTTCGGTGGCACAAGGTGTGAACACCAAATTACATTTCAAGAAGTAATTAATGGTAATCGACTTAGGCAAAGCTGGTTCGCCATGCAACAAAGTGAAGGTTGTGAAATTACTAAAATACGAGAAGGTGTAAAACTGTTTTGTGGCAAAAAAAAACCTGAAGAAGTCAAGGATCACCTATGAATAACCCAGGGAACATTTGTTTTATGTTTTGTATTTTAGAGGATAAATATTTAATTTAATCCCCCATAGTTATGTTTTTTATTATACCAGTCCAGAAATGAATATTAATTCTTCAATTTAAATATTTTTTACTTTGACAAATATTCGATTTTTGCATTTCCATAATGTTGAGGGCAATCCATGACTTTCAATACAAATTTATAACTGAAGTATAGATGGCGTTTGTTAAGTAAGTCAAAATAAATATATAAAAAATGTAAGGGGTATAACCTTGTCTATGTTTCCTGGTAAAGCCTACCTAGTGCCATTGTGGTAGTGTTTTTTATTAAAAGCTCATACACCAATGATCTATGTATGAGTACAAAATCATTAATGTTTAGAGGGCGCTTTTTATGATTTATATGATTATAATTTCTCTCATAATATTTGAATATTTTGTAGTTAAAATTTTCCCAAAAAAAATTATTTCTAAAACTTCACTTAAAATGATCGTATGACCAATAGAAAAGTATCCGAAATATTGCACATGCAGTGGCCAGATGTTCTTTAAAAAAAATATTCTAAGAAATACACAGATAGTTCTTCAAAGAAAGAATTTAATGTAGGAATTGAAATAAAGAGGGCGTTGTTCGTTGAATTTATCACTGAGGGTTTGAGGGAATTATCACTGGGTAAAATCGCCGGATTTTTACTTCTTACTATAAAGTAATAATCGCTGTATCAGTTTTTATTAGTTCACAGAGCATAAAATTACGAAAAACATAAATTTACTGTTGGAATTGAAATAAAGACGGCGTTGTTTGTTGCACTTACTACTGGAGATTTGGGAGGAAATCCTGGGTGAAATCACCGGATTTCAACTTCTAACGATAAAGTAATGATCGCTATAGCAGTTTTTATTGGTTCATATAACCTTAAGGTATAGAAAATATAAATTTCCTGTTGAAATTGAAGGAAAGAGGGCGTTGTTCGTTGCATTTATCACTGAGGTATTGAAGAAGAGAGATAATTTTAATTTTATTTCTGTTTCAAGACAGTTTGACCCCTACGATATATCTATGATTAATATCTAATTTTTTATTAGTTCACAAGGCTTAAAGGTGTCCAAGATTGAAGTTTCCTTTGGGAATTTAAATATAGAGGTCGCTGTTCGTTACATTTATCTCCTAGGTCGATTTTAAAGAACTTTTTTCCAAGGAATAATAATCATCGTGGATTCTTTTATATATTTATCTAAGGATTAAATCAGGTCGATTTTTAAGTACCTTTTTGGAAGGATAAACAGCCATAGTGGATTTTTCTAAAATTATTTTAAGGACCAGTAACGCCATGGATATTTTAAATAATATTTTTTCTAGAACTAGCAGCTACGAAGATGTTTTAAGGAATGCTTTTTCAAGGATAAAATCATATTAATTTATAGATTAATGTTTCAAGGACCTGTAGCAACGAGGATTTTTTAGAATATTTTTTTTATTCATTTCTTGATTCGTTTCTTACGTTTAAATTTGAAAAATAGAGGGCGTTGTTCAAATAATTCTTTTATTTCCGGCATTGTTAAATGGCATAGTTAAATGTCTTTTCAGAATTGCTATAGCCGGGAAATTTAAGGCAATTCGTTCCTTAACGTAGTAGCAAAGCTATTAACTATTATTAACTATTAACATTGACATATAGATGGAGCTGTTCGAACCTTTGTTTTGTTTCCTATTTCAAGTTTTGTAGTTCATTTTTTTTTCTAAATTATCATTGAAACAATTTCTAGGAAATTTTAGTCATTGGTTATTCGATGCTTAATGCAGTAATCTAAAAATAATTAAATCGCGATGAAAATTGAAATATAGAGGGCGCTAGTCATGACTTTGTTTTATTTTCAGTTTCCCTCATAAAGTAACTTTAATAAATTGCCATTGAAAATGTTTGCTGGGAAATTCAAGCCTTTTTTCTTTTCTTAATTTCCTTAATAATATATCAAGTTCACATATCTCGCGGAATGCATGTTAGATTGTAATTCTTTATTATTTTTTTTTTTTTTCATTTTATTTTGGATATTTTTCCCCTCCTTTGTTGCCATTATCGTGGCAAAAAAAAATTATCCGACATGAAATCAAATTGTGTAACTATTAAATGTAAATGCAATGTAATTTTTTTGCGATAAAACTATTGTTGAGGAAAACAACGACTTATTGAAAAATCCATCGCACACACATGGCAAACATATGAGGCAGGGAGGTAGACAAAATGGGGTGATTTGAAACTAAAATTAAAAAAAAAAAATTAAAAAAAAATTGTCGAAGTGATTTGGTCGTGATGGGTCGATATAAATCTCACTTAAAGGTCCAAAAAAATATAATCTCCTAAGGTCATATTATCCTTCTAATGAAGATCCCTTATCCTTAGGAAAATTGCGAAATATTGAAATCCACCTACGCCGCTGCTCCAATGAAAAAGACTTTCACTTGTTTTTCTTTTTTGTCTGATTTTCTTAATTCGCCAACGAATTGCTAGGTCGTGGTCTCTTGCGGTAGGTGGGGATTATTCGCCAAAATGCATTATTTTCTGCGCCTTTTCTCCTCAGCGTCATTGCTCAAAGAAAAAAAAACAAATTCTTAATTTTGTTGTTTTACAAAACAACAACAACAATTCGAATATATCGTAAAACTTCCGCAATTGCATGTGAATATAAGTTCGTGTATGTTTTAGAATTTTTTCTTCTTGGGAGAAACTGAAATGCTTAGAGCTGTCTATTGTTAGAATATTTTTTTTTAATTGGCTGAGAAAGTTTAAATTAACAATTTGTTTGTGCGGATTTGATACGAATTCAATTTTTGATCTACGTATTTTGAGTAATTGCTGTGTTTATTTTTAATTTTAGACAATTAAAAAACATAAAAAAAATAGAAACGCAATAGGAATCTAAAAATATAATTTTAGAGAATAATTTTTCAATTGTCCAATAAACGTCGATTTTTAAAAAAAAAAATTTTTCAAGGATCCAAATAAACGTGGATTTTTTAAAAAATGTTTTTCAAGCATCTAAATAAATTTGGATTTTTTAAAAAATATTTTTTCAAGGATCCAATAAACGTAGATTTTTTAAAAAATATTTCTTCAAGGATCTAAATAAACGTGGATTTTTTAAAGAATATTTTTTCAAGGATCCAAATAAACGTGGATTTTTTAAAAGAATATTTTTTCAAGGATCCAAATAAACGTGAATTTTTTAAAGAATATGTTTTCAAGGATCCAATAAACGTGGATTTTTAAAAAAATATTTTTTGAAGGATCCAAATTAACGTGGATTTTAAAAAATATTTTTTCAAGGATCTAAATAAACGTGGATTTTTTAAAAAATATATTTTCAAGGATCTAAATGAACGTGGATTTTTTAAAAATTACTTTTTTCAAGGATCTAAATAAACGTGGATTTTTTAAAAAATATTTTTTCAAGGATCTAAATAAACGTGGATTTTTTAAATAAATATTTTTTCAGGGATCTAAATAAACGTGGATTTTTTAAAAAATATTTTTTCAATGATCCAATAAACGTGGATTTTTTAAAAAATAATTTTTCAAAGATCCAATAAACGTGGATTTTTTAAAAAATAATTTTTCAATGATCCAATAAACGTGGATTTTTTAAAAAATAATTTTTCAATGATCCAATAAACGTGGATTTTTTAAAAAATATATTTCCAATGACCAAAAGGAACGTGGACTTTTTACAAAATATTTTTCCAAGGACTAAAAGGAACGTGGATTTTTAAAAAAAATATTTTTTCAAGGACCCAATCAAAGCCTATTTTTTAAAAGTTATTTTTTCAAGGACCCAATCAAAGCATATTTTTAAAAAATATTTTTTCAAGGACCCAATCAAAGCATATTTTTTAAAAAATATTTTTTCAAGGACCCAATCAACGCATATTTTTTAAAAAAATATTTTTGCAAGGATCCAATAAACGTGGATTTTTTAAATAATTTATTTAATAAAATTTATAAAAGTATTTTATCAAAATTCCTATGGCTGGCTCGTGTATCCAAAATTCCTAATCAATTTTTTTCTTCAATATCTGTTAATTATCAACCAACAACAATAGAAAATCACACAACTGCCTTTGTTAATAAAAAGCCAGACAACAACAATTTTGGAAAAAAAACTCAATCAAAGAAAAATATTTTCAAAAAAACAAGTGTTAATGAAATAACAATTAATGCCGCCCCGCTGCTGCTGGCAACACCCACATTCGTGTTTTAATGTTCTGCTATTCATTGGTGGTTAATCAGCCGGGTGGCAAGTGTTGGCCACATTTTTTTTGGTTGGTTAACCAAAAAATCAAACAAAAATGTAAACAAAACTCAATCACGTGCAAGCCATTCTGGTTTTGGCTAAAAATATTTTTTTCTGGGCCAACAAATTCCATAATCCCATTTAATGGCTGGCCTAGATGCATGTCATCCCGCAAAATAATAATATTTATTATGCTTGCCTAGATAAGGGTATGGGATGTTTATTCTGTGGTCTGGCTGGTTCGTGGAAAGCCAAGGTGCAGTAAATGCAAATATTTATGGCGATATACATTTTTCTGGGTACCCTGCAAAAATCAAAATGTGGGGCCATTTTTTTGGGGGGTCAACTTTTTTTATGGGTGGTTAGAGGTGTTATTTTTGTAGGATAATTAGAATTTGTTATGAATTAAACACAAACATTACATCCTGTAGATATATCACCTTTTATAGGTCTTTTGTAGGTACAACCCCATATAACGATACCTCCCAATAATCGGAATTTTGATGATTTTAGAGACATTATTCAGCCGATTTGTTTCTAATTTTGTTTTTGAATTTACTCCATAGACGGTCTACTCTTTGAATATTCATAACAGAGTCAAAATTTATTTAAATAATCGAACATTGGCTGAGGGTATACATCTGCCAGCAAAACCAACTCATACTCTTCAGCTTGATTTTATGAAAATTAAATAAAAATAATAAAATTTTTTTTTTCTTTCAAAAAATTTAAAAATTTTTTTTCTCAAAATAACCACAAAAACATTAAAAAATAACAAAATTGTGTTATAAAAATATTTTTTTTTTCTAAAAAATTGCACAGAATATTTGCTATTTTTATCAGAAATTTTGGCGTGACATGCAAATGCGTAACAAACAACAGCAACAAAAAATACCAACAACAGCAATGATGATGAACACATTTTTAATAGGCCCGAAAATATAAATAAACCCAAATCTTCAAAACTATTTTCAACTCATTAAATCCAACGCATTCTAGAATCTATCAAGAAAATTTATGGGGGTCTAAAAAATGTAACACTAAAATAATAAAAATACTGCAGCACCAAATTCATCAGCTTCATCATGACAGTGTTTTTGCCGGTCATAAAATGCACAAAAAATTTGAAAAAAAATATTCAGATCATCGCTTTTATGTGCAGTCATGCAAAATACGCAGCATCTAAAAATATTACGATGCGTTTTAGAATACAAAAAAAAAAAAAAAAAAAAAAAAAAAAAATATATATATATATATATATATATATATATATATATATATATATATATATATATATATATATATATTGATTGAAAATTAAAAAAAAGTAAAAAAAAATAAATATAGAACTATTAATAAAAAAAATAAATACAGAAATAAATTTGGAATAGCAAAAAATAACAAAAAATTAAAAATATAAGAAATTTTATTATTATTATTAGTTCCTAAAATTAAAATTTTTTAAAAAGTGTTCTTTAAAAAAACAAACAATTATTGAAATTTCGGTACTTTTTAAAAATTTTTTAAAAAATCCATGTTTTATCGGTTAGAGGATTCTTGAAAAAATGTATCCTACAACCCACACAATTTCGGCAGATGGTCCTTAAAAGAATATTCTCAACAAATCCAGAATCGACAAAAAAAAAAAACAGATTAACGCTTTTGGGTGGAGTCATGCAAGATACGCAGTATCAAAAAAAATTATAATGCATTTAAGAATACAAAAAAAAAAATAATACTAATAATAATATTAATAATAATAATAATAATAATAATAATAATAATAATAATAATAATAATAATAATATAATAATAATAATAATAATAATAATAATA